CCCCCCACCCCCACCCCCACCCCCACAAAAAAAAAAGAAAAAAGGTCGATGCTGCTCTAATTCTTGCTTGATACGCAACTTCTGGTTAAAGAAAGCTATCTTTATTGGGCGTTGTGTTGCATAAGTGCACTTACGTATAGCGTTCTCCTTTTTTTGGATAAAAGCGAGATTCAATGCTTTGCGAGGGCTGAAAAAATTATCCAGTTTGTTAGACTGCTTTTGTCATTGATGTCTCTATCATTTTCGTTTTTGTATGCTCATGACTTTGTATTTGCATAACAGTGGGATGTAGATGCTGAAATGGTTCCACCGCAATCCATACAATGCAGTTTGCTTGATGAACCTAGCCCACTTGGTCTACGCCTGAAAAAGAGTCCATCTTTTCTGGATCTGATTCAGATGAGGCTTTCTCAAGGAGGTTCTGCTACAGCTTCTTGTATTGCAGGAAGCGGAGGTCTTGAAGGTGGGAAAAAGAAGGATCTGAAGTCTACTGCTGTTTCAGGAATTACTGACAAGTTAAAGGCTTCAAACTTTCCTGCTTCTCTTTTGAAAATTGGCTCTTGGGAGGTAAGCACAAGTTTTCCTTTCACTGCACTTGTACCTCGTGTATTAAGCGTTAACAATTTGTTACTTGTTGAAATACCTGCTAGAGCATTCAACTTTATTTGGATGTGCATTCATGTCTACAACCATAATTCAGAAAATGGTTCTTCTCCCATAGCTGTGGTAAAAAGTTAGGTTACCGTATGGTCACATAGCTACACGAAGATGGTGACACTGTATCATCCTGTCAATTTCTTTATTCCTTGTCTACATATCTCGGGAGACATTCATATCCTGAACTGCTTTAGTTTGGTCTAAGATGCCTGAACAGGACCATTTTGTGTTTTCCTCTGGTTGCAACGGAAGAGCAGAATTTTTTTTATAAGACTCAATGATGCAGGGTAACCAATTAGCTTAGCTTAATGAGTGATGCTTTTTTATTCTTTTTAAAATTCTGTCCTTATCACAAATAGCTGATTACTCACTGATTCTATTACTAAACAGTGTGTCTCAAGGTATGAAGGTGATTTGGTTGCAAAGTGCTATTATGCAAAGCATAAACTCGTGTGGGAGGTTCTTGATGGTGGTCTTAAGAGCAAGATTGAGATTCAATGGTCAGATATAACGGCTCTGAAAGCGAGTTGCCCTGACAATGCCCCTGGGACGTTAGATATAGTGGTAATGTTGCTCTTAACACATTATGTAAATCTAAATTTTTTTCTCTTTTCTCTTTTTCTTTCCGTCTTATCTCTCTAATACGGCCCACTTCTTGTTTTTGTTTAGTTGGCTAGGCAGCCTCTTTTCTTTCGAGAAACCAATCCACAACCCCGGAAGCATACGTTGTGGCAGGCCACTTCAGATTTCACTAATGGTCAAGCAAGCATACATAGGTAAACATACATCTTATATTCTGCTTAGTTTTAATAGCAGTTGACTCATACGCAATCAGGTGGCTTCATATTCAAGATTGAGAAATTTGGTGTATGTTCGGCATCTGCCTTTTTCAAAGACAATGTAGATAGTTTAGTTCGAAGTTTCTAACTGATTTGCAGCGGGCATGAACTGAGCCGGTCTAATGTCTCCTTTCCTCAGTATTATCATTCTCCAATCATACCTGTTCTTTTTCCCCCTTTCCCACTATCTACGTTTTTACTGTGTTTACTTTTGTGTTTCTCTTACCTGCCACTTTTCTATCTCCACATTTGTGAATGTATCTAGGCTTAATTACAATCTTGTGCTGGTATAGATTGGTGTGCATTGGCTCTTGTCTACTAGCCTGAAAACAAAATGAAGATGTTTATACATCAATATATTTACATGTTGCAACTATTATTAGCATAGTTGTATACTTGTATGTATTCGCACATGGTCAGTAAAGGATTAATCCTAATGTAAAGGTCATGGACATGATAGGGACATGGTGCTGAGTAATTCTTCTGTTCTTTTAGAATATATTATGCAATAGATGAATTGAATGATTAGGTATGGAAAATTTTAATGAATAACATAATCGTGTAAAAGCTTCGTAACTTAACCAACTTCTTTACTTTCAGAGCAAGTTGGTTTAAGTTGATGAAATAATTATGACAATGTTATTCCATCAGAAATGTTTAGATAGCAATCTGTCTGTATATCTTTCTTTTTTGTTTCATTGATGGTGACTGGTATCATGTCTCTTTCCGCTCTTATTTACTAGCGTGTCAGAAGCTTGATTGACGTAGAATGATTGATTTCCATTGCTGCATATTGCATACCAATCTGAAAGTGAGTATAATCTAGTAAGGTTTAAACTTAGAAGGGTCTGATTCTTATTTCAGGTATGTGTAAAAATTCATACAATTAACCATATTAGTAACTAATCAAATGTAGACAGTGCAGTTCTAATAAATGAAAGATAACTATTGAACTGTAATTGTGGCATTTCCTCTTCTAAGTTTTATGAATTCCTTTTCGTAGGAGGCATTTTCTTCAGTGTCCACCAGGCCTGTTAAGCAAGCATTTTGAAAAGCTTATTCAGTGTGATCCACGCCTAAACTCACTTAGCAGACAGTCTGAGGTTATCTTAGAATCTCCCTACTTTGAACCACGGTGTTCTGTATTTGAGGACCATGACGAATCGAAGCATCATGGTTTTGATGATCTGAAGGATGGATTTGGTTCCAAGATGTCAATATTCCAAGATGCTATGTCACCATGTGCTGCTCCTTCATCTTCGACTAAGAATGAAATAAGGCCTCCTATTGGTAGAACGCCAGACAATGTTCAACATGAGGCCCTTTCACCTAGCTCAGGTATTTCTACAAATCTGCTATAATATAGGATTCATTGCTTGTTTTTGTGTGCATGCCCTTCAGTGTGTTAAGAGCAAATATCAAAGATTATTTTCTGTTCAAGCTTTTCCCATTTAATTTTCCCTTTCTATATGTTTCTGATGTTATGAGCAATTAGTAACTACCTCCGTAGTTCCTGGATCATTCTTTAGCTGTGTTGTTAAGGTCTCCATCCTAACCGCCATGCTGCTTAATTTTTCATGGGCTCGTTGATCTGTTTTACTGGGAACAATTTCTTAGAGGTTGATATAAGATTTTGCTTGAAGCATGAATGTGTATTCTGCTATTTTCTTTGGGCATGTGTTATCCTCGGCCTAACTTTTTAAATTATATTTCAGTAATGGACAGTCAAGTCATGGAAGACAAGCCTACAATTAGCACAACTAAAGAGTTGAACGACACCAAGCGCTGGGATCAAATCAAAGTTCCGGGACTTCGCTCATCCATGTCGGTGACTGACCTAGTGAACCACATTGGACACTGTATCTCCGGGCAGACAACTCCGGGCAACCCTATTTTACCAACCGACTCATCACTGAACAAATCTCTGCTGGAGGATCTGACACAATACCTTCTCAGCGATTCCCAAATCACTTCGGCTTCTAATGAACAGTCTCTCATGTCTAGGGTCAATTCCCTATGTTGCCTAATCCAACACAAAGACCCTGAGAAGGCTCAAACTACAGCAGGTGATGATAATGATGCTTCAGATGATGAGCATAAAGAGGAAAAGAAACCACTGCTTCATGTCTCTGATGAAGGAGAGGATTTTAAACCGCCGAGCATGTCAAGAAAGGAGTCATATGGTGAGCTGCTGATGCATCTCCCTAGGATTGCGTCGTTACCACAGTTCTTGTTTAATATCGCAGAGGATTCGGATAACCAGGCCAGATGAACATTTGACTGGGTCTTTATGCATCCTATCTGTGAATAGAACTCTGGAGGTGTAATGATGATGCTTAGGTAAATGTTCTTAGGGTTCAGAGATTGGTAACTTGTCCAATTTGAACGGCGTTGTATGTTGGGCTTGTTTTTGTTGGTGTTGTACAGATGACAGCCTTCATGTGAATCAGAACCCCGTAATCAACGAACATGTGAAAGTTCTTGTCAAGTCTCTCTTATTGAAGTGCAGATAATTGTTTGAGTCGGACTATCACTGACGGCTAACCGTCAATGATATATATCGCCGACGGGAATTTAGGCATTCTTGACGGGAAAGCACGTCAAGGATGCCTATTTTTCCACTAGTGAACAGGAAGCGGAGGGGAAATTTGACGACTCGGCTTGTTATGATTAGTTTGTGGAAGATGGGGGAGCTATTTAGCTGTGGCTTTGCGTGTTCGAATGGTAAAATTTCTCATGTTGACAATCAAGTATATTCACTGTAGCAATGCTTTTTTTCAGTAAAATCTAAAATAATTAAATTCATGAGACTATTTACGACTATACTTCAAATAAATCACAAAACCACATATAAATCATCTGAATCATATGAGATTATTTTGGATCCCGGAATATGGAAGCAAATATGGGTACGATGCCTGCTAAGAACAAGAGACTGATGCAGTTCATCAATGCTTCTGGAAATGCCCAAAAATTTAACGTAGACCCGCAACAATTTGACAGTTTATCTCCCCAAGACCAAGTACTGATAATAACTCCATTGCGACGAAACCACCCTGAAGAGCCAAGTTCAAATGCAATCACCAAATCAGAGTAAATGAAATCATCAGTCAAAGCCCAACCTAGCAAGTTATTCCTTTCGTTTTCCTCCCATGAGCCATCATCTTGACTGAATGCCATTAAAAGAGTTTAAATAATATTCACATATCCTAACCGCATCGAACCAGGAGGTTGGGTGCAGTATATACACAGATGAGAAGTAGCAACATAAGAAAAGAGTATATAATCTATACAAAAGACGATACCACCCACCATAGGTATGTTCATAATATTTACACTTATTATAATTTTTCTTCCTTCATTTCAGCCGAAGGCGAGGAGATCAGGAAGGAGATGAACCAATGGTATCGGGTAGCATCGCTACTGTCACTATGAAATATTCACAACCACCGGGAAGTCCATAAGTGTTAGATACATCACAAGAAACTGGAGATAGCCGGTTGCTGGAGCTTTCAGAAGCATCAGAGTCAGTCCTTGGTGAAGTTGGCAGCCTCACAAATCGACGCTCAATGTGCACAATTTGCCCGATTATATAAGTGGGTTTTCCAGAATACTGCTCGGTAAAGAGGGCTACAGATTCTGATGAGAGGTAGTAGTTGGAAGAGTTTCGGTGGATGGCTGCATAATGCCCAGCAGAGTTTCGAACGAAACAAGCAAGCTCGTGGACTTCAAGATGAACAAAAGATATCTTTTTAGTGCTTGCCTGTTCCAAAAACCTTCCATCAGTCAGGATGAGCCCAAACAGTAGATCAAAATACACCTCTACCAAAAAATATCAGATATTTATCTTCATATCTACCAAAATTGAGAAATCTATGTTTAGTTTGCTACAAAATAACTTGCAGCAAATGTGGCAACACCAAATGTTGCATGAGATCATCTTCTAATCCATTGTTCGGAAATTTGCAATTTTATTCGGGGATTTCCAATGCAAATTCGATGCTTGGTTGAAAACCAATTGGTGTAGAAGCTAGATGATTCTCTTATTTTGAATAAGATTTTTTTTAATGATGTAGAATTATTTGTTATTTCTTAATTTCCTTATTTGGAGGTTGCAGCATTTCTGCAACTTTTTCTACACATGTAAGAACATTTATCTTTCCTAATTAAAATGTTGCAAACCAAACAATGGAAAGATAAATCCGGTTACAGTATTCACATCTGTAGCTCTATTTCCGCTCAACCAAATAGCCCCTATATCTAAAATGTCACAATGACCTACGTACGAAATCAGCATGATCCATCGCATTGACTGGGAGCACTTGGCTAGTTCTTTTCTTTTTCTTTTTCTTTTTCTTTTTTTCTTTTTATTTTTTGGGGTGGGGGGG